GTGAGTTCCAGGACAGCCAGAGCTATTGCACAGAGAAACCCTGTGCAAAACAAATCAATCATACAAAAAAAAAAAAAAACAAAAACCAAAAACCCACCTTCCCCTTTATCCAGTAATTTCAGATCAGTTTTTGTTGTCTTTATTGAATATTTTATCTATCTAAAGGATAAAGGCACCCATGTTTTGGAATATATTGTGCAATGTACCACTTCATCATCCTTAATGCCTGATCCTACATGTTCTTCAGTGAAACTTTAAGTAGTTCTTTAGCCCAGTAGGGCCACTCACTGTTCAGTATTGTCATATATCTGTATATGTGTATGTATGCATGTAGTGTGTGTGTGTGTGTGTGTGTGTGTGTGTGTGTGTGTGTGTGTGTTTGCGCGCTCATATTTTGTCAAATTAAGCACAGATTTCTGGAGTCACCCTTCTCATTCTCCAGTGCTATATAACCAGCCACGCTAGACAGCACCACAGATCTATTGTGCTCATAGACCTGCAGTTTGGACCAGCTCAGAGACTAGTACTTGTGAATGCTGTCAAAGTCAAGCTATGAGTCTGAGTAGGTATCTGAGTAGGTGACCTGTGAGGGCCCCATCATTGGCTTTTGGGCTGGGAGGCCCCCCTCACCTGCCTCCCTCTCCTGTTTTCTCACCTGGCCCTTTTGATGTGGGGATCAGCACACTGGACTTCACAGGCATAGCTGAGTCAAGTAGAGAGAGTTGTGTTGCTTTGTGTGCCCAGCCTTAGAAGTCAGGTAGCACCTCTTCTGTCTCTGTTCCTGTGAGGGACACTGACCCAGTTGGAGTCAGGATGGACTCTGCTTGTACTGGGGGTGTGGTCAAGACTGGAGAAGCCAGTGAGACTGGAATCTCCGCTGGCTAGTCTTATAAGGCATTTTCAAACAAAGGCTGACAACGTCAAGCTCATTCTTACTGAGTCTCAGCTAAAGGTTTTGCTGTGCTATTCGCCGATGTTAGCAGATTAGGATTGGAATGATACCAGAGACTTTGTCTAGTGGCCACGCTGTTTGTACCCTGCTATTTCTCACTGTCTTGTATCCTAGGGGTGGCTCTGGTCAGGATGCTGTCACTGTGAGCCAGGGGCTAGCTGAGGATGTGTGGAGAATAGGTAACATGTTCTCTGTCCATCCCAGATTTGAAGACAGAGCCAACAGAGGTGCTGCTGACTAGACCAGTTTGCCAGCCTCTGAGCATTCTATGCACTGAAGTTGTTCAGTGCTGGTCTTGGTGTTTCATCCTCTGCCTCTCAACTTTTTCTTTGTATTTAAGGGACACCTAGTGATGGTCGATGGGCTGTTTCTCAGTTAATATTTGATGACACTGTAGACTGTAACAGTCACAAGCAGTACAGGCCATTTTAGATTTATGGAGCAGCCATACATTCAGGAACTAGCTCTTAGATATCTGTGACTCACATAAGACCTGAACTGATGGTGCCATGTTGCCAAGGACACCCTGAGGGTATAGTCATCATTGTGATTATGAACTAGGTCTAGGGGTATAGGGAGAAGGTAGCCTGGACGTGGACATTGCCCTGGCCCATGTTCATGGCACTTAATCCAAAACCAGAGGGTCTTTTGTGCTCTAAGAGCCAATACCAGGGGTGTGCAGCATGTGCTATATGGCCATAAAAGAGGAATGCACATTGTTGTAAATGGAGCTTTTTATCATTGGAAAAGAAAATTGTTTACACAAGGTATACAACTGTGTTTCAGGAGTAGACCCATGTCTGCAAACTGAGAATAGAATTCCTGGGCCCTTGATGACTGCAGCCACATCTAAACCACAGAAGTCTCGGGCTACCAACTCAAGGGATGAGCGCTTCCGGTCAGGTAGGTCCATAGCTCTGGAAGTGCGGGAGTAGGAGGTGGGGTTGCAGCAGGCGAGACGCTCTGTTCTGGCTACTGAGGCTTTTGGTTGGTTTTTCTTTGCTAGAATGTTCACCAGAGAACTAGTTCATTTTCAGCTGAGCATGGTGCACATGCCTTTAATCCCAGTGTGCGGAGACAGAGGCAGAGGCAGAGGCAGGCAGATCTCTGAAAGTTCCAGGCCATCCTGGTCTACAGAGCAGGTTCCAGGATAGCCAGAGCTACACAGAGGAACCCTGTCTTGAAAAACAAACAAACAAACAAACAAACAAACAAACAAAGTAGTTATTTTCACTTGAGTGATAATTTTCATCTTATTGTTCAAGAAAGCAGAACCCTATAGAGCAGTGGTGGCACACACCTTTAATCCCAGCTCTCTCAGGAGGCAGAGGCAAGTGGTTCTCCATGAGTTCGAGGCCAGCCTAGCCTACAAAGTGAGTTCCAGGACGGCCATGGCTGTTATGCAGAAAAACCCTGTCTTGATAAACTAGAAAAAGAAAAGAAAAGAAAAAAGAAAGAGAGAAAGAGAGAAAGAAAGAAAAGAAAGAAAGAAAAAGAAAGAAAGAAAGAAAGAAAAAGAAAGAAAGAAAGAAAAAGAAAGTGGAACTTTCTTTTAGTTTTTTCTTATAGTTTTGGGGTTTTTTGTTTGTTTTTGTTTTTGTTTGTTTAATAATTTTGGTTTTTCGAAAATTATTTTTCTCTGTGTAGCCCTGGCTGTCCTGGAACTCGCTCTGTAGCTCAGGCTGGCCTCGAACTCACAGAGATCCGCCTGCCTTTGCCTCCTGAGTGCTGGGATCAAAGGCGTGTGCCATTACACCTGGTTCAGATAGTTTGTTTTAATGTCTCCCTTTTTGTATATGTTAATTGCCTTAGAGGTTGCATGCTTGCAACAACTGTGTGTTTGCTCCTGTGTGTGTGTGCATGTATGCAGTACATGCAGGTGCCATCTACTCTTTTTTTATTTAAGCTTTGAGCTTAGAGTAGGCTATCCTGGCTGGCCAGGGAGCCCAGTGAGCACACACACACACACACACACACACACACACACACACACACACACACACACATTTGGTTTTTCAAGACAGGGTTTCTCAGTGTAGTTTTGGTGCCTGTTCTGGAACTCGCTTTGTAGACCAGGCTGGCCTCGAACTCACAGAGTTCTGCCTGGCTCTGCCTCCTGAGTGCTGGGATTAAAGGTGTACACCACCACTGCCCGGCCTGCACCTAGATATTTTGAAACTGTGAGTTCTGGGGGTCAAACTCAGGTCCTTGTGCGCGCAGTGCAAGCCCTTCCCTGACTAAGTGTCTCTTTAGTCTATAGAGAACCCTTCCTCTCCTGCCTACCAGGACAGCATGCTTGCTGTCTGTATCTGCTTCTCCAGCAGGAGCTCTGGGATTCTCAGTAATGCCTGTGTATATGGAAGTTGCTGTATAACTGGTGTAACTTTAAATTTCCTTTCACTTAGATTTTCCCATTTGGGAATTGTTTTTTTTTTTAAATAAATATTTAAATAATTTTAAATTTTTTATTTTACTTTTAAAAACAATTCTGCTTATTTATTTATTTTGTGTGTGTGTGTATGTGTGTGTGTGTGTGTGTATGCGTGCGTGTGTGTGTACGTGTGTGCCATGGTTCGCACATGGAGGTCAGAGAATTTGCAGGAGTTGGTTTTTCTTCTACTTTGTAGGTTCTAGGGATCAAACTTAGGTTGTCAGAATTGGTGGTCATAAATTTGCCCTCCTCCCCCATTATTTTGAGACAATCTCACATAGCCCAAGCTGGCCTGGAACTTACTATGTAGTGGAGTACGGCCTTTAACTCCTGATCCTTTCATTTCCGTCTTGGGGACTAAGAACATGGTCACGTACCAAAATGCCTGGTTTATGTGGTACTGGGGTTGGAACCCAGGGATTCATACATGCTGTGCAAGCATTCTACCAACTGAGCTATACATGTATGCCAACTGACATGTGTGTGTTCGGGTGTGCATGCATGTGGAGACCAGAGGTTGATGTTGGCCATCTTCCATAATCACAGTACACTTAATTTTTTAAAATAACAGATGAATTGATTACTGCATATGCTGCATAAACATTGAAACATCTCCAGTGGGAACTTGCTGAATTCTGAGATGCTGACATTGATTTCCTGGCTGCTGTTTTCAAAATGTGTCCATTTGATTTTTCTGTTTGTTTTGTGTACCTACTGATTAGCTAAGACGCTGGCCAGTGAATCTCTGGGGGGTCCACAGCTTTTTATTTTGTAATTTTTTATAACTGGAAGTATTTATAAAGTTCAAGAGTTGAATCCTCAAGCAAAGCAGTATGTGGAGAGAATCTGAGGTATGGGGTGAGTGGGAAGGCAGAGCATTTTTTTTTTCTGCTCAGAGTAAATGTAAAAGTAGATTGTTACCTGTGTGGTAAAACACCTATTGCTATTGTTGTTCCTGTGCAGATGTCCACACAGAAGCCGTGCAAGCAGCTTTGGCCAAATACAAAGAGAGGAAGATGCCCATGCCTTCAAAAAGACGGTCTGTCCTTGTGCATTCCTCTGTGGAAACCTATACCCCTCCAGGTATTGATAAATGGTTTCAGGATGGATTTTTATGAGTGTGTCATAGGCCTGGCGGTTAATATTTATTTTACTGAATTGGAATATCCTTGTAACCTATAATACAGGTTTGAGAAATTTAGAAATTAAAAATGTTTACATGTGTGCATATTCCTTACCTAAGAATCTACCGTATCTTTGGTTTTTTTCTTATCCAAGTGAATATTTGTATTGTAGTGGGATTTTTGTATGGATTTTACTTTTTAAAAAACTAAGGTGCAGGGTTGGGGATTTAGCTCAGTGGTAGAGCGCTTGCCTAGCAAGCACAAGGCCCTGGGTTCAGTCCTCAGCTCGCCCCCCCCCCCCCAAAAAAAACCTAAGATGCTATTTATACCTGTTAACAAAGTGATGAACCTAAGACAGGCACGTAGTGGAGTACAAACTTCTGGAGCTGAATTTTAAACTTACTCTAACCCGTGCCCTCTGTCTGTTGTACTGCTGACTACCTAGCCATGTCTCCAGTGGGGCCATTTAAGATGCTTATTTGGAGGATGTGGGTATATTTCATCATTTATTGTTTCCTCTGGAAATGAAAATATGGAGACAGGTTTCTCTCTAATGTCCTGTTAAGCCAGACTGAGGTGCTGGTGTCTGGTGGCTTCATCCATGCATTGCCACAGAGGCCTCTCAAGTTCTTAGTCAAAAAAACATTTAGGCTTGATGCGTTTGGAATCGTACAAGATTTGCAGGGTGACCTGGTAGCTTGGTAGGTGCTTCTTCCCTTTTAAGGAAAGCTTATTGTTGGAAGAAGTCTTCAGAAATTATTGCCACCTTACCGTACCTGCTAATAACACTGTAGGCACTATCCAACAATAAAAAATATCTTAATAGCTGTAATAAAATACAGGTATGCTGACTTCATGGAACCTTAGTTCACAAATAATTTCATGAGTTGAAGCAATTCTGTTGAGGAAGGAATCCTTTCCAGAGGTACTTCTCCCGCTTTCCTGTGAACATAGATGTAGCCAGGGCCGTGGTCTCCCGTAACAACCGCAGTACTGCGCCATTCACACCCAGGCTAGGATACGAGGTACGGGCTGCGCCATGCTGACGTGTGGATGTGGTGTCAGGCTGTGCAGATGGACAGCAGTGAGGGCTGGACGCTCAGAGCACATCACAGTTGGGGTTTCCTAGGTTTGGGGGACAGAAAGCTGTTTTCATTCCTAGTGTTTGATAACCTGTGGCCAAGGCCTCCGTGGGGACCTCGGCACTCATGGGATCACTTCCCAAAAGTCGGACTTCTTATGTGCCCTTCTGAAGGCGACCTTTGAGGTGCCTGATAAGTATTTTTGGACCCCCCCCCCCATGGATTTATCACTGATGCAATAAGCCAAATCGAGCCGAATTAAAAAGTAAAGGACCAGGTCTAATCTGAGCAAAGCATTCCTGGGTGATCTCGGGGGAAAGAGGGGAAATCACGTGGCAGGTCTATGGACTGGAGCTCCACTGTGCTGTAGGTGCAGTCTTGAGGAGCTCCGGGTCCGCCTGGCGGGCTTTCTGAGAGGGGGCAGGGTTTGCAATGGGGGAGAGTGAGGCTGGAACGGAGCTTCCACCTTAGACAGTGCCCACTTGTCGTACAGGGTAGAACTGTGCTTCAGGCCTGGAGACGAGTGAGAGGCCCTCTCCCTCTCTTGACCCATCTCTACATCATGCTTGTCATCGTTATTTTAATCACAGACACGTCATCTGCCTCAGAAGATGAGGGCTCTTTACGGCGACCTGGGCGACTCACCTCCGCTTTGCTCCAGAGCCATTCCGGCATCGAGCCCTGGCTCGACAGGGTCATTCAGGGCTCGTCCACTTCATCCTCTGCATCCTCCACCTCATCCCACCCGGGAGGGAGACCTGCCGCTGCTCCTAGTACCACCACAGCACTTGCGGGCCTCACGGCCCACACCCACATAGGTCAGTAACAGCTGCCTAGCCCCGCCCACTGGGAAGGGTCAGGAGTGTCCGGGACAGAGGACTACTGTCAAGTGACTGAGGTCATGAGCCAGATGTCACATGATGCCTTGTCTGCTTGAGATATCAGCTGGTTTTTTAGCTTTTAATAATCACATTTGACACAATGGGGCCACACTTGGAGAGCTTGGCATCCAGATTTAGTTGAACAAAATGGCTCTGTTGCTAAATTTTTGTCTCCATCCAGATCCACCTCTTTCTTATCTGAAATGTGTCTTTTGGGGACAGAAGCAGTCCTGTGATTCCGTGGCCTGGCAGTTCCAGGCTGATGGGGTGTGCCCCAGTCCTCAGCAACATGCTGTTCTCTTGACGTCCTGTTGTCTTTTCCTGTTTCCCAGGTGGTTGTGACGGCCGCCCTGGGCCTGGCTCTCTAGTCACTGTCTTTCCTGTGGCTCTTTGCATATGTGACTATACGGGCTGTAGGTTGTCCTGTGCACAGGTCCTGAGATGGGGGCTAAGGTCTGGCCTTTCTTCCTACAGATAGTCTTCTTCCTAAAATCAAGATGTCAATCAAAGCCAGTCTTAAAGATACAGGAGTCTTCTCAGTCAGGAGTTCTTGGATGACAGTAGTCTTACAAAGAAGTGATGTCTCGAGCCATTTGAAACCCTGCATACAAGCAGTAGTTGTGTGGTTACCTTAAAATGTGGTCTGTGTTAAAGACTTATCTCATCCCTCATTTTCCTAGATGAAGAAAGAAGACAAAAAATAATAATAATAATAAAATGAGTGAGGTAGCTTGCTGAGATCATGCACTGCTTAGTGGAGAAGAGTGCTGGTACCAGTGTTGCTGGGGCCTCTTCATTTTCTTTTCTTTTCTGCTAGACCTGGGGTGATGAGCGCTTGCCATGCATCAGGCTGGGTTGGTGGTTTCTGCAAGCCACTGTAGATGGTGCTGGGACCATGTTCCGAGTTCTTTTCAGGTCAGGTTTGGTGTGCTGGCTGGATTAAGAGTGAACAGGGATGTTTCTTCTGGTAGCCTGTGGTTTGTCCCGTGGAGCTTGTCAGTACAGCTCTTGATTTTTGTTTGTTTGAGACCCTATACAATTCCTGTATATTGCTGGACATCTGTTTCCCACTGCGATGTGTGTCGGGTGGGAACTTGTGGTTCCTCTGCCACACCGTGCTTCTTGCTCACAGAACAGCCACACGAATAGCAGTGGCAAGAGTAGATAGCCATTATAAGACAGTTGTTACCTCCAGGGTGTCTCTGGCTGCTCCTTTCCTGTGTGGCTGGAGGCTGTGGCCTACCTTTCCTCAAGGAATGTGACAGTCCAGAGCAGGCAGACAGCCAGGACTGTGCTTTCCTGTTTATCTGCAGGCTTTTATTTTGTTTTTGTTTTACACTTATTTATTTATTCAGCTGTGTGTGTGTGTGTGTGTGTGTGTGTGTGTGTATGTGTATGCACCTGTATGTAGACACACACAGACACACACACACACACACACACACACACACACACACACACACACACACCACATGCATGCCTCTGTAGGCGTATGGGGCGGCCAGACAGGAACACTGACCATCCTGCTCTATCTGCCCTTTTCCTTTAAGACTGGATCTCACTAAGCCAGGAATTAGGCTGGGTGCCAGCCAGCCCCAGCACACTCAGTGCCAGGATTGCAGTCATGCACATCCCTGCTTTTTACATGGGTCCTGGGATCCGAACTCAGGCCCTCAAGCTTGCCCAGCATGCTCTCTTTCCCACTGAGTCATGTTCAGTTACCTTGTCTCTGATATGTGAAGCTCTTTCTAAGGGGACAGGACTCAGGAGCACCCTGGATTGGAGGCCTGTCACCGCTGAGCTGTTACTGCTTGGTCACATTCAGCATGCCAGGCTAGCCATAGTTCACAGCATTTGGTCAGACAGCCTCAGGGATCTAGTGGTTGTGGCTTATGGATGTCTTAACAGGAACACTCTGGTGCGTGTTGGAGTTAGGTGTGTTCACTCTCTGGTGTTTATAAGGTAGCTCTGCTGCCTGTGTTGGCAGATGATCCATCCTGTCTCCTGCAGCTGTGTTGTGAGGCCCCTTTTCCTTTCTTTCTTTCTTTTTTTTTTTTTTTTTTTTTTTTTTTTTTTTTTTGAGACAGGGTTTCTCTGTGTAGCTTTGCGCCTTTCCTGGAACTCGCTTTGGAGACCAGGCTGGCCTCGAACTCACAGAGATCCGCCTGGCTCTGCCTCCCGAGTGCTGGGATTAAAGGCGTGCGCCACCACCGCCCGGCCCCTTTTCCTTTCTTACTTGCTTGGCCTAGCATAGATGTTTTGTGATTGATTCTACTCAGTTTCAAAAAGATCTCAACGTGATTTCTATTACCTTACTGCAAATGTAGTTTTGATATGCTTTTGAGTAATTGAAGAACACAGTTGACTTGATTTCTAAATTTTATTTATTTATTCTTTTAATTTTAAATACATTTGAAGTTATTTATTTTGTGCACATGTGTGTGGAGGCGCCATAGTGGGGGTCTCTTGTAGGAGCTGGTTCTCTCTTTCCACCATATGGGTTCTGGGGTTGTAAGGCTTGATGGTAATTGCCTTTACCTGTGGACCCCACCCACCAGGGCTTTGTTAGTGTGTGTGTGTGTGTGTGTGTGTGTGTGTGTGTGTGTGTGTGTGTGTGTATGTGTGTGGTCACAGGCGTGTGTGCGTGTGCATGTACCACGATGTGTTCCCTCCTTCTATTGTGTGCTCCAGGAATAGAACTCCGGTCAGAAGGCTTGCGTGGCCAGTGCTTCTGTCCATGGAGCCATCTCATTGGCTCTTAACTTGACTTCCAAACACAAGTTTATCTTTCTTAATCTCAAATCTGAAATTTAGAGCAGCACATTTCACGGTTTCAGTTAGGAGTGATTAACTAGTGAAGTATAAAATGTCCCAAATTTGTACTGATTTCTGAAACATAAAACTCCGAGGTCATTGGCACAGGGGATACTCAGGTTATATGCACCTTCCCTGTCCTCATTACAAGACCATCATTTTGCTTCTAACTCCAGATAGATGAACTTCAGATGAACTAAGGAAAAATACATAAGAATAATATATTAAGTAAAAATTTGGAAGTGGAACTTATTAGGTAAGGGTACTTTTTTAAGCATTAGTTTCAGTTTTTGGATTAAGGAAATAAAATACATTAAACATTTTGACATAGATACAAACTTCTGTACTCAAAAACAATGCTTTTAGGGATGGTTTTGAAAGCAGAGTTTTGTTTTTTTTTTTTAAAGACAGTTTCTCTGCCTAGGGTTGGCTAGCCTGGAACTCACTCTGTAGACCAGGCTGGCTTTGAACTCAGAGATCCACCTGCCTCTGCCTCCTGAGTGCTGAGATTAAAGGTGTGCACCACCACCACCCCTCACAAAGTTTAGTTTATGTAGCTGTTTAAAAAACTACTTCATGGTATATACATTATCTTCTTTCTACATATGCTTTTAAAATCATTCTTCTTTTTGCTAGGTTTGGAAGCACAGAGATGTTTCTTTATGAACTGAAAGATCTTCCTGATAGACAGACTTTAAAATGCTAGTGTGCTCATCACCAGGCTATTTCAAGGGTTCTGAAAACTGTCATTGAAGTTTTAGATTTTTTTTTTCCAAAAAGTATATTCTGTTTTATAAATAGTAAGTTTATGTTTCGCTCCTATGTATTTTCTTTCTTCCTTTACACTCAGGTCTTACTTTGAATTTTATCCAAGTTAATGAAATGATAGATGGTCAGAACTGAACCATCAGAGTGTAAGAATACCATAGTGAACATCATATTAATTTAAATATTGCAGATGACCAGCCTTCATCACATACAGGCCCACTGCATGAACTGGTTGCCTTCAGTGTGTGGTACAATGCCACATCCAACAGCTGCCCCATTGTTGTTCCTCTCAGTGTTAGGTCAATAGTAATGAAAATTCCTCTAGCGACTTAGAGTCAGTGTTTGGAACAGATCAAAGTCCTGCTCCATGAAAATTAAAAAAACTTTTATGTTCAGAGAATGAAAGGAATAATTGTATCTTATGTACACTCTCTTAAATGTAGCATTAATTGATTATACATTAAGTTGATGGTAGTCTCTTAATTTTTTAAATATTTTGTTCATTTGAGATGGAATTGTACCATGCAATACAGGCTGGCCTTGAACTTCTGTCTCTGCCTCCCAAGTAGTTGGACTTGTAGGTGTAAATCACTTATAGGTATGTCAGGCTCAATGCAGAAAATTTTAACTAGCATATGGGGCACTTTTAGTTTTTGTACTTAATTTTTAAAAATTCTCCAGACACAGGTTCTCATCATGTGACTCTGGCTGGCCTGGAACTTGCTATGTATAGCAGGCTAGCCTTAAATTTAGAGAGATCTTCCTGCCCCTGTCTCCTGAGTACTGCTATTAGAGGCTTATTTAATGCCTGACTGTTTTTTTTTAAATTTTTTTGAAGATTTATTTTCATTTTATGTGTTTTGCCTGCATATATGCCTTATGAGACTGCATTGCCCAAGAAGGCCAGAAGAGGGCGCTGGATTCTCTCAAACTGGAGGAGTTACAGACAGTTGCCATATGGGTGCTGGGAACCGAACCTGGGTCCTCTGCAAGAGCAACAAGTGCTCTTAACTGCTGAGCCACCACTCCATCCCCTGGCTTTTGTATTTTTATTCTTAGATCAACAAAGATGATGTCTTCATAACATCCAACCTACTTTTAGGGAAGTTACAAGGCTGGTTGTTTCATCGTAATGTAATGAAAAGCATTTAATAGCATTTTATTTCAAATTAATTTTTGTTTCCTTAAGGAAACTTTCCAACTAAGATCTTGTTAGGCTGTTATGTTAAAAGGCAAGTTTTCCGTGCACTTTGTGATATACTTGGTGGTTCTAGGTCTATCTTTTAAGGAGTTGA